TGGAAAACACTGGGCTGAGCCAGGGAGGGGACGCGTGGGAACCGCCAAACTCATCATCGCACCCTCGTCCCGAATGGCCCTGCCTCTCCCACATCCCCTCACCTGGACTGCCTTTTGTGACTGTACTAGTCAGAACCAGGCAACTACAGGACTGCGACACTGCCTAGCTGCTAGACTCCCCCCGCCGACCCCCCCCCCCCCCGGGCTGAGCGGTGGCCGTGTGTGCTCTGCGCTCTCACAACGGAAGGCCAGGAAGTGGCTAGTCATTTCCCTTCTCTGCAGCCTCAGTTTCCAGGATGCTACCCTTCCTTGCAAATTTGATGAGGTTCGCTTTGTGACACAATGTAGAGTTTATTTTTGTAAATGTTCCATGAGTGCTTGAGGAAAATGTAGACAGTTGACTCTGGAACAATGTGGGGGTTAGGTACGCCATCCCTGTGCGCAGTTGAAAATCTGCAAATAGCTTTTGGCTCCTCCTAAACTTAGCCTACTCCCCCAAAATAGCATACTCTTGATATGAGGCCTTACTGGTAACATCAACCATCAATTAATACATGTTTTTGTATATTCTGTGTATTATATACCATCTTCTTAAGATAAAGTAAGCTAGAGAAAAAAAAATCTTATTGGTGGGGGGGGCGCCTGGGTGGCTCAATCGGTTGGGCATCCGACTCTTGCTCTCAACTCAGGTCTTGATCTCTGGGTAGTGAGTTCAAGCCCTGTGTTGGGTTCCATGCTTGGTGTGGAGATTACTTAAAAAAAAGGGGGGGGGAATCTTATTAGGAAAATCATAAGGAAGAGGAAATGCATTCACAGTACTCTGCTGTATTAGTTGAAAAAAATCCGCGTACAAATGGACCTGCGCTGTTCAAACCCGTGTTGTTCAAGGGAACACTGTATTCTCAAATTATAGGCCCAGTGTTCTTTGTATGGATCAAGTTTGTGGATCATGTTAGTCAAATTAATATTCTTGCTAATTTTTTTGTCTGTTGGACCTATCAGTTACTGAGAGACGTGTTAAAATCTCCCGTCATGACACTACGATGGTGGATTTGTCAAATTCTTTTTTTTTAAAGATTTTATTTTTTTATTTTAGAGAGAGAGCACGTGCGCAAGCAGGGAGAGGGGCGGAGGGAGAGGGAGAGAAAGAATCTCAGGCAGACTCTGCACTGAGCATGGAACCCGATGTGGGGCTCGATCTCACGACCCTGAGACCATAACCCAAGTGGAAATCAAGAGTTGGACGCCTAACCTACTGAGCCACCCAGGCGCCCCGGATTTGTCAAATTCTTTGTAGACTTTAGTTGTAATACATTTATGCTTGTTTTTACCATCTGATTTTGTGCCATATACCCCCCTTTTTTTTCTGTTTCTTTTTGTCCTTTCCTCTCTCAACTTCTTTTCAAAGCTGGGCTCTTGGGAGTCGTTTTCTCATTACAAGAGGGTGTTTCATCTTTTGTAAAATAAGCATAATAGGGGCACCTGGGTGGCTCAACTGGTTAAGCGACTGCCTTTGGCTCAGGTCATGATCCTGGAGTCCCGGGATCGAGTCCCGCATCGGGGTCCCTGCTCAGCGGGGAGTCTGCTTCTCCCTCTGACCCTCCCCCCTCTCATGCTCTCTCTCTCATTCTCTTTCTCTCTCAAATACATAAATAAATAAAAATCTTTAAAATAGGCATAATAGTAGTGCTTACCACAGGGTTTGTTATAAGGATTGAATGAGATGAAGAAACTCACATTGAATGTTAATCCAGTGCCTAACATATAGTAAGCACTAATAAATGGGAACTATTATTAGAAGTTCTAGTACTCTATCATCTTCAGGGTTCCCTTGTCTCTCACGGTTCCGCTTCTATTGTTCTCCTTTCTGCTGATATTGTCCCATTTGTTCTCAGTCTTTTTTCTTTCATTTCTGCTTTACTGCCATTCAGTTTCCTGTTTCCTCGTACCCCTTCATCCCCAGGCGAGCTCCGCATGCAAGCTGCAATGGTGAGGCCCCTTAGGGAAGAGTGTCAGCATGGAGGGGCTTGGTGGCCCAGCGAGGGCAGGAGGCAAGACAGTGGTGCCTTGTCCCCTGATTCCCATTCCACAAGGTGACAAACGTACCGCCCAACACGAAGCCAGCCCTACCCATTACTCTAGGTTAGATTGTCCCTGGTGGTCTAGTGGTTAGGATTCGGCACTCTCTCCCCATTACTCTAGGTTGGCTCTGGGGAAATTGGACCCGCTGGGATCATCGGTTTCTGTGAAATGGGTACAAAGCCAAAGAACTCGCCACCTAAGGATACAGTTGCATTCCTTAGTGCCTTTGCCTGTGGAGTACAGCTGGGGCCTCATGGTCTGCTCTCAAGAAGGAGTCCTGCTGTGGGAGAGTGGGTGTCACCTCACTAGGAATTTGTATATGTACAAACCAGAACCTGGAAAGAGGAACCATTTGTGCTCGAACACATTGTGGTCAGAGGAAAATTTTGTCATCATTGTTGTGACAGACCTGTAGCTAAATTTAGCAAGCTGTGTATTTGTGTGTGTGTGTGCATATATCATGCTTGGACATCACACACGATGTTTCCGAAAAGCAAAAACTCCCCAGACCAAAAAAGAAGCCCTCTTCTGATTTGGTATTTGATTGCCATGGCCATCCCTTAGTCCAGTTACCTCAGAGCTTTGCTTTTTTCTGTGTCCTTTGGAGCATGACATTCCTTCAAGAGACATTGTGTCACTGGAGGAACATTGGCACTTGGTGGAGTTTTGGGTGTTTTTCTGTTCTCTGGTGGTTTCCACACTTGGATTGAAATAAACAGAGGTGTTTAACTTCCATATTTCAAATGGGCGTCACTTGAATATGAGAGTCTAATCTTTTGATGGCAATTAAACATACACCTTTCTTCTTCACAATAAATTTTATTTTATTTTAAAGATTTTATTTATTTATTTGAGAGAGAGAGCGTGAGAGAGAGAGAGATCACGAGCAGGGGGAGGGGTAGAGGGAGAAGCAGACTCCCCACTAAGCAGGGAGCCCAATGTGGGACTCAATCCCAGGACCCTGGGATCATGACCTGAGCCGAAGGCAGACGCTCAACCATCTGAGCCACCCAGGCGCCCTTCACAATAAATTGTAAAAAGATGCTGTTGATATTTTTGCAACTTCTTTTGAAAAAAAAGATTATTTATTTATTTATTTGAGAGAGAGAGAGAGAGAGAGAGAGAGAGAGAGAGAGAGAACAGGAGGAGGAGCAGAGGAAGACGGAGAAGGAGACTCCCCACTGAGCACAGAGCCCAAAGGACGATGCTGGGCTGGATCCCAGGACCCTGAGATCATGACCTGAGCCAAAGTCAGACGCTCAACCGACTGAGCCACCCAGGCGCTCCTGAAACTTCTTTAATACAAAAGTGCAATCGCAACTTCTGATGTAGATGAAATGCAATATATTCTTGGCCGTTAGCAAATCACAAAATGCCTGTCTGTGATTCAGAAGTTCAAAAAAAATATATATGTATATATATAATGTGTTGGATCTGTCTTCCTGGAAACAGGAACAGGAACAATTTAGTTTCTTGTAAGCCACAGAAAGGATATGGAGTAGCAGATGAGATAAACATGCTGGAGATAGGGGTGCAAAATGGGAAAAGGAACGGAGATGAGAGGGAGAGAGAGTTTTCCAATTATAGAAGTCGGATAAATATTTTGACTGAAGTGACTCTGAGTGGGTTTTACTTCCCTTAGTATGCTCCAGACCAGTGGAGATCCAAATTTTTCATCTCAGGACCTGTTTAAACTCTTACAAATGATCCAGGACCCTAGATCCAGTCCCAGATTTTACTTCCTGGGGAACCGAAACTGTGACAAGTGTCTAGCCCAGGGCACACCACATTGATGCCTAAAGTATCGAAGCAACTAGTTTCCTCAGTTACAGGTATAGTTGACCTGAAACAAACTACATGTAATAGCTTCTAGGCACACGTGGGGGTCATTCATTTTGTGAACAAGTTCTTTAAATCTCTTAAGGCGTTTCTCGATCATAAGATTTATTAAAAAGAAGGTGTAATCGTTAGGGAAACGCAAGTTAAACCCGCAACGAGATGCCACCCCACAACCATTCAGAGGCTTATTATTTTAAAAACAACAGGAAATAAGTGTTGGTGGGGATGTGGAGAAGTTGGAATGCTCGTGCATTGCTGGCGGGAATGTGACCTGGGGCAGCCGCTGTGGAACATAGCTTGGCGGTTCCTCAAAAACTTAAACGCGGACTTCTGCTACTGATGTCGTTTGGGAATGTTGGTGGGGTCCGGAGCAAAGGCCAAGAAAGAATTCTTGAGACGTCTTCGATGCAGAAAGGTGATTCTATGAAAGCACGGGGACGGGACCCGTGGGCAGAAGGGGTTGCTGCAGCGGGGTGGTGAGGGGTGGCTGATTATATACTGGGGAGCTGGGGGAGGTAAGGAAAAAGGGGGGTGTCCAAAAGGACTTTCATATGCTGAAGAAGACTCACAGGATACTGGAGTCCTGGCCGTTGTCAAGCTAAGGTTGTTTTTCCTTCTAGTAAGGCATTAACATTAAGACAGCTGGGAGCTTCCTAGAGGAATGTTATACTCTGCCTTTCTCAGGTCCTTGTCAATGGGCTGCAGGTGGTAAGGAAATTTAAATTTGTTCCCTTTCCCTTCGGCCTCGGTTTCCCACATCACGCATGGAGGGGAGGGTGACGTTGGGGCTCCAGGAAATTGAGTTATGCGTCTGTGGAAGCTAGGTTATTGATAAGAATGCTTTTTCCTTGTAAATCACTAAGTCATTGGTAAACAGATGGAGACTCAGGTCTGGCAGGACTGTGATCTCTGTCAGTTATCTATTTGTTTTCCCTTCCCTTAGCTTTAGGGCAGCCAGGGGTGCCCGAGGAATGTCACACATGTCCCACCTGGCAGTGGTGGTGGTGGGGGAGTTTGCTGGGTGTCAGCTTCTGCTTTGTCCTCAGCTTGCCTTCTGTTCCCTCATCTGTATGATCCAGCAAGTCCACTTCTAGGTATATATCCCCCAAAAATTCAAAGCAATGACTTAAACAAATATTTGTATGCCTAGGTTCAGAGCAGCAGTATTCACAGTAGCTAAAACACGGAAGCAACCCAAGGGTCCATTGACAGGTGAATGAATAAGCAAATTATGGTATACACGTGGAATGGAATGGAATGTTCATCAGCCTTTTTTTTTTTTTTAAGATTTTATTTATTTGACAGAGAGAGACACAGCGAGAGAGGGAACACAAGCAGGGGGAGTGGGAGAGGGAGAAGCAGGCTTCCCGCCGAGAAGGGAGCCCGATGCGGGGCTCGATCCCAGGACCCTGAGATCACGACCTGAGCCGAAGGCAGTCGCTTAACCAACTGAGCCACCCAGGCGCCCCTGATGTTCATCAGTCTTAAAAAGAAAGGCAACTCCGACACATGCTACAACAGAGATGAGCATGGAAGATAATTGTGCTAACTGGAATAAGCCAGTAACAAAAGGACAAATACAGTATTACTCCTCTTCTATCAGGTATCTAGAACAGTCAGATTCATAGAGACAGAAAACAGAATGGTGGCTGCCAGAGGCTGGGGGGAGGGGGAAGTGGGGAGTTATTGCTTAATATGCACGGTTTCAGTTTGGGATGATGAGATAGTTCTGTAGTTGGACGGTGGTGATGGTTGCACAACAATGTAAGTCTATTTAATGGCACTGAATTGTACACTTAAAGTGGTTAAAATGAAAAAAAAAACAGAAAATGGTTGAAAAGGAAAATGTTATGTGTATTTTACCACAATAAAAAATGTAAACAAGTATTTTTTTAATCAAAGATTTTATTTAGGGGCACCTGGGTGGCTCAGTTGGTTGGGCATCTGCCTTCAGCTCATGTCATGATCTCAGGGTCCTGGGATCAAGCTCCGCATTGGGCTCCCTGCTTAGTGGGGAGTCTGCTTCACCCTCTACCCCTCCCCCGACTCGTGCTCTCTCTCTCTCTCTCTCTCTCTCTCAAATAAATCTTTTTTAAATGATGTTATTTATTTATTTGAGAGAGAGGGAGAGCTAGTGAGAGAGAGCACAAGGAGGAGGGTTAGGGAGAAGCAGCCTTCTCGAGCCTGACGTGGGGCTCGATCCCAGGACCCTGGGATCATGCCCGGAGCGGAAGGCAGATGCCCAACGACTGAGCCCTCCAGGCGCCCCTAAACAAGTTTTAAAGTACAAATATGTCTGAAATCTTGCAATACATTAGTAAAAGGGTTGCATTAAATAGTTAATGAATCATTCCTTTTTATTGCCAAATGATGGTTCATTGTATGGATATACCACCTTGAAAACATTAGGCTAAGTGAAAGAAGCCAGTCACAAAAGTTCACATATTGTCCGATTCCACTTACATGAGATGTCCAGATGAAAGAAGTCTATAGAGAGAAAAACTAGTTGAATGGTTGCCTAGGGCTAGGTGGAGACGTGGGAGGAAAAGAGCCATGACTGCTAATGGTGCTAATGGACCCAAAGGTTTTGGGGGCAGGTGATGACAACGTTTTAAATTGATCATGCTGATGGTCATACAACACAATGGATGTACTGAAAATCACTGAATTCAATTTATTTATTTTTTTAAAGATTTTATTTATTTATTTGACAGAGAGAGAGACAGTGAGAGAGGGAACACAAGCAGGGGGAGTGGGAGAGGGAGAAGCAGACTCCCCCCTGAGCAGGGAGCCTGATGCGGGGCTCGATCCCAGGAGCCTGGGATCATGACCTGAGCCGAAGGCAAACGCCCAACAACTGAGCCACCCAGGTGCCCCTGAATTCAATTTAAATGAGTGAATTGTATCTCAATAATTCTGTTAACAAAAAGGTTAACAAAACCGAAATAATAGAAAGACCCTCTAGAGGAATATCTTTCCTAATTGACCTAGGAAATTAAACTTTGATGCCCCAGTGTGGAAAAGTTGATGGGTTTTCTTGTATTTCCCTTCGATCATTCAGTAAATATTTATTGAACACTTTCTGTGGGCAAATAATACTATTGAAGGTACAGAGCAATCTACAAAAAAAATATTGTTTTAAAATATGGTGTCTGCTGGGGCCCCTGAATGTCTCAGTCAGTTAAGCATCTGCTTTCGGCCCGGGTCATGATCCTGGGGTCCTGGGATCGAGCCTCACATCAGGCACCCTGTTCAGCAGGTAGTCTGCTTCTCCCTCTCCCTCTAACCATGCCCCCTGCTTGTGCTCTCTCTCTTTCTAAAAAAATAAATAAATAAAATCTTTAAAAACAATATGGTGTCTGCACTGATCAATGGAACAGAAAGCCCAGAAATAAATCCACACTTATGTAGTCAATTAATCTTTGACAAAGGAGGCAAAAATAAACAATGGGGAAAAGACAGTCTTTTCAATAAACAGTGCTGGGAAAACTGAACAGCTACATGCAAAAGAATGAAACTGGATCACTTTCTTACACCATATACTAAACAAACTCAAAATGGATTTAGGATTTAAATATAAGACCTGAAACCATAAAACTCCTTTTTTTAAAAAAGATTTTATTCATTCATTTGAGAGAGAGAGAGTGAGTGAGAGAGAGCACAAGCTCGGGGAGCAGCAGAGAGAGAGGGAGAAGCAGACTCCCTGCTGTGCAGGGAGCCTGACTTAGGCCTGACGCCAGGACCACGGGAACGTGACCTGAGCTGAAGGCGGATGCCTAACCGACCGAGCCACCCAGGCACCCTGAAACCATAAAAGTCCTAAAAGAAAGCCTAGCCACTAATGTCTTGGATGTGGGCCTTAGCAATATTTTTCTGATTTGTCTCCTGAGGCAAGGGAAACAAAAGCAAAAATAAACTACTGGGACGACATCAAACTAAAAAGCTTCTGCACAGCAAAAGAAACCATTAACAAAATGAAAAGGCAACCTACTGAATGGGAGAAGATATTTGCAAATTATATATATCTGATAAGGGATTCATATCTAAACTATTATAAAGAACTCATGTAACTCAACAGCAAAAAAACCCCAAATAATCTGATTAAAAATGGGCAGAGGAATAGGCATTTTTCTAAAGAAGACATACAGATGGGCAACAGACACATGAAAAGATGCTCAACGTCACTGATCATCAGGGAAATGCAAACCAAAACCACAATGAGATATTACCTCACACCTGTCAGAATGGTTAATACCAGGGGCACCTGAGAGGCTCAGTCAGTTAGGCATCTGACTCTTCATTCGGCTCAGGTCATGATCTCGGTGTCATGGAAACGACCTCCACATTGGGCTCTGTGCTGGGCGTGGAGCTTGCTTAAGATTCTCTCTCTCCCTCTCCCTCTCTAAAAAACAAAGAGTGGTTAGTATCAAAAAAGCAAGAAATAAGTGTTGGTAAGGATGTGGAGAAAAGGAAACCCTTGTGCACTGTTGGTGGGAATGTAGGCTGGTGTGACCACTATGGAAAGCAGTATGGAGTCTCCTAAAATGTTAAAAACAGAACTGCCATTATGACCCAGTGATTCCACTTCTGGGTATTTGCCCAAAGGAAACAAAAACACTAATTCGAAAAGATTATGCACCCCTGTGTTTATTGCAATATTATTTACCATAGCCAAGATATAGAAGCAACCGAAGTGTCCATTGGCAAATGACGGGATAAAGAAGATGTTGTATGTGTATGTTCACACACACACACACACACACACACACACACACACACACACACTGCAATATCACACAACCTTAGAAAAGAATAAAATCTTGCCATTTGTGACAGCATGCATGGACCTAGTGTACTATGGGAAGTAAGTCAGAAAAACACAAATACCATATGATTTCACTTACATGTGGAATCTAAAAACCGAAATAAGTGAACAAACAAAAAGCAGAAATAGACTCATAAATACAGAGAACAAACTGTGGGTTGCCAGAGGGGAGGAGGGGAAGGGGTTGGGGTAAATAGGTGAAGGATATTAGGAGGTACAGACTTCCAGTTATAAAATAAATCAGTCTCGGAGATGAAAAGTCCAGCATAAGGAATACAGTCCATACTGTAATAACTTTGTATGGTGACTGCGCTTAGAGTGGCGAGCATTTTGTAATGCACAGAATTGTCAAATCACTATGTTGTACACCTGAAACAAATATAACATTGTATGTCAACTGTATTTCAATTAAAAAAATACAGTGTCTGCCTTTCAGAAGCTCGTTCTCTGATTAAGGAGACAAGCCATACCCACGTGAAATCAGATTAATCAAGGCAATGCCATGCTGGGGTTCTTTATTTTATTTTATTTTATTTATTTTTAAAGATTTTATTTATTTATTTATTTGTCAGAGAGAGAGAGAGAGAAAGCACATGCACAAGGGGGAGCGGCAGGCAGAGGGAGAAGCAGACTCCCCGCCGAGCAGGGAACCCCATGTGGGACTCGTTCCCAGGACCCCGGGATCATGACCCGACCCGAAGGCAGACGCTTAACTGACTGAGCCACCCAGGCTTCCCATGCTGGGGTTCTATTATCAACTCATGTTCATGATTCCACTTGCCCCATACAACCAACCAAAAGTCTTGTTATCGTAAAATTAGTGATACTGAAAATAAGACTAGAGAGTGGTTAAGATCAAGGGCTCTGAAGCCAGAGCGCCTAGTACGAATCCTGGCTCTACCACTTACTAGCTGTGTGACCCTGTGCCGGCTACTTAGCTTCCCTGTGCCTCAGCTGCCTCCTTTGGAAAATGGGGATGATTATGACAATAACAGCACCTAGTTCAGATGGTTGTTGCGAGGATTAGATGTGTTAATGCATGTCAAGTGCTTAGAACAGGTCCTGGCATATAGCAAATGCTCCATAAAAGTATTAGTTTCTGCTATTTCTGGAAAATGATGGGTCATCCCTTTGATGAATATTGAATATTTGTCCAATGAAAAACCTTAAACACACATTAAAAGATACTTCTTAACAGAGCTGTGGCCATTTTGCCAGAGATTTCAGACAGTACATATGGCAGGGTGTGATTCAGGAATGTCACA